CTTGGACGTTTGGGACCCCAATGGTGATGTCAAAGTTTCACCCATGGCATTTTCAAATCACTACCCAAGGATGTGAAAGACACAGGATGTTGTGTTCAACTTTCACTATAATATGCACCCAAATCATACCTATTAGTGCACTAGGAAAATGATCAGAAAAACTGCAAGTTTGAACATATAAGGCCAAGGGCTCTCCACACAATAACTAAATTACTTAACCTTGTATTTGTATCTCTCTCCATTTCCAACCAAAAAGCTGCCTTTTGCAAACTTAGCCATAATAACCAATCTATAATTAATTGCATGTTAAGATGCTTATAATAATCACATTGTAATGGAGGAATACTTGATCCATGATACTATACAGCTTATCCAAAGAAACCACCATTTTTGCTGCAGTGCTCAAAGTGTCAGCAGTCAGCTAGTGCACAAGACTTCACTCTGATGCCTGCCAACTCTTCTGAACCCTCCATGGAGCCCAAGGCAGTGGCCACTCACGTCATATTTGACGTGGACGGGCTGCTGCTGAATACGGAGACCCTGTACACCAAGACCACTGACCGTGTGGTGGGCCAGTTTGGCAAGAAGTTCACCTGGGAGATGAAGCTGTCGCAGATGGGAATGAAGGGTTCCGAGGCGGCGGCGCGCATCATCGAGCAGCTGGAGCTGCCGCTGACCTCCGAGGAGTACCTGCGCCAGTCGGCGCGCATCTGGGAGGAGCTGTTCCCCTCGGCCGAGCTGATGCCGGGCGCCGAGCGGCTGGTGCGCCACCTGCACAAACACCGCGTCCCCATAGCGCTCGCCTCGGGCGGCAGCGCGCCCAACTTCGAGCTCAAGACCAGCCGGCACGACGAGTTCTTCTCATTGTTCTCGCACGTCGTGCTGGCCTCCTCCGACCCGGCTGTGAAGAACGGTAAGCCGGCACCGGACGTGTACCAGATCGCCGCCGAGCGTTTTGCGCAGCCGCCGGCGCGGCCCGAGGACGTGTTGACGTTCGAGGACGCGCCCAACGGGGTGCTGTCGGCGCGCGCCGCCGGCATGCACTGTGTGATGGTGCCGGACGCCCGGATGCCTGAGGAGAAGAAGAAGGAGGCCACCCTGGTGCTGTCCTCGCTGGAGGACTTCCGGCCGGAGATGTTCGGACTCCCGGCCTATGATGCGTAGGGCTCAAAGGGCAGATGAATAGGAGGTGCAATGAAGTAGTGTAGCGCCCAGTACTGTGTAACTGGTTCAGCTATGTGAGGGGACGAGTAAATTACAATAGGTGCTTGATTTTGACTCTCACTTGTTTTACCGCAAGTGATAACTGTAAGAGTACGAAACATTTTGTAAAATGAAGCTGTTTAGGAAAAGTGGAAAGAGTTGAACTTACCTGTATCCCACCATGACCTTTTGCCAAGCATTTACTCAGGTTAGGAGGATGAGGCAGGTATATTTCATCTAGCATACGATTGCTTATATTCAATGTTTTTGTTAAGCTCTCATTTTCTTGTTCGTAAGTTTTTGATACTAAGATTTAAGCCAGGTGAATGGCCAAATGTGACATGGTTGTAGGCTGGTTTCCTTGACGTTAAAATGCTTTTGCATCGTCAGTGTCCACGCGTTTCTTTTCGCTCACCCGGCAATTCGTCTGCCTGCTTGTCATAAATTCTGTATCAGTCTACAGAGTACAGATCAACTTCTCGCGATGCTAGTTTGGTTCAGCAACGTGTTATACGATCGACGTTGCACATTTGGAAGTGTATTTTTGTAACCTGACGAGCAAAAATAAAAGTGTTTTTGGGTATGCCTTGTACACGTGGATTCTCGGACCCGCTGAAACGCTGGAACGACTACCTATGAGGTGTGTAGAGTGCTGATGTAGCGTCGCAATGACTTTTCGTCGAACGAAGCCTAAGTTTCTCCGACATTGCCAAACTGTCCGTTGTCGAACTACAAGGTGACACAAAAAAAGCGGTCATCACCAAAAGTCGAATAACTTCGGAAGTTTTATTCAGATCATCACCAAACTTCGGCCACTTTAGGTCACACCTATGTAGCAGACATCCACCAAGTTTCAAGTCTTCTCTACGAATACGTTTAGTACAGTGTGTGTTTTACGGACGCTCCACAATGTGCTCCAGGTGAGCGCCCCGGCGCTGCAGGGCGTAGGCACACCTGCATCCGGCGGGCAAAGTTGCCGATGACCCGATAAGAATAACGTTTCAGGGGTAGCACACCCCCTGAGCACTGTCTCCAGAGGCCATTGCACTCTGTAAAGTGCACAGCCATCGGGTTATCGACAACTTTGCCAGCCGGATGCAAGTGTGCCTACGCCCTGCAGCGCCGTGGCGCTCACCTGGAGCACATTGTGGAACGTCAGTAAAACAAACACTGTACTAAAAGTATTCGTAGTGAAGACTTGAAACTTGGTGGATGCATGCTACATAGGTGTGACCTTAAGTGGCCGAAGTTTGGTGATGATCTGAATAAAACTTCCGAAGTTATTCAAAATTTGGTGATGACCGTTTTTTGTGTCACCCTGTATGTGGCCACCGAAGTCAAGTGTTGGTGTGCTCTGAACGTCGTCGATCAAATATTCATCACGTGTCACTGGTGCAAAGTCCTCTGATATGATCATGGGGCCCTTGTAAGCTCTCATATTCTCTAATGCAACTTGCAAGAATCTAGTGTGCGTGGGTATGCGTTATGTTCGAACCGTCTATGGTAGGTAATCGTTTTAGTGCATAAAAACCTATTATCGCACATTGAACCCCAAATGCTAATCGAACTCAATGCTCATCTGAATTTCATTTTCGAGAGTTTATATGCGTTAGCCTATTCAGTAAATGCTACAATGGTGAGCTAACAGTTATATCGATCGAAAATAAGCTCAGTAATTAAAGCTTTGTCGAGAGGCCAAATTATTCAAGTGCTTTACAAGACTACAGGGTGTCCCGAAAGTTTTGCAACATCCGTTTTCCCATATGTTTTGTCTCTACCGCTAATATCAACGTTCCACTGGCAACCTTCCGCTTGTCCCGGGTAGACGGCGCGACTGCCCACCCGACCCAGCGGCGGTTATTGCCGCGGGGCACGGCTGACCCGTCTGGGGCGGCCGCCGTCTGACCTTAGGTCAGTCGCAGACATGAAGGTGGCCGGACGGGTAACGCGCAGAGAGGCGGTGCGCTCCCGCCCGATCGGGTTGCTGGAAGGTGGCGTGGCGCAGGGGGTTGTCGCAGAGAAGCTGGGCGTCGATCGGACCACTGTCTACCGGTGGTGGAAACATTTTCGCGACGGCAAACCGTTAGCCGACAAGAAACGTTCAGGCCGGCCGCGTGCCGTGTCCAACGTCGCCAGAATCGTCTGTGCCAAAGCTGCTGGCAAGCGTGGCCAAAGCGTCAGGAAATTGGCCACGCGGCTGGCGCGAAAGGGTTACCCGGTGTCAAAGTCGGGTGTCCATCGGTTCATGACCCAGTCGAAGCATTTCCGGTCGTACAAAAGATCAAAACAGCCGAAAATGACAAGAAAACAGAAGCTTGCAAGATTGGAATTTTGCAAGAGGGTAAAAAATTGGGGCTTCGATGAGTTCAAGAACGTCATCTGGTCCGACGAGTCCATCTTCGAAATCCAGCACACGCCAAATCGGCAAAACGATCGAGTCTGGGCGAAATCTCGCGACGAAGTGCCCCCGGTTGAAACCATCAAGCACCCCGCGAAACTCATGGTGTGGGGCGGAATGACCGCACAGGGCCTGACTGAACTTCACGTGGTGCCAAAAAACCAGACTGTCAACACCGCATACTACGTGTCCGAGATTCTGGAGGGCTCACTTCTGCCGGCGGTCAACCGTAAGAGCAGCAATGGCGGTGTCACGGAGAAGAAAATCGTCGACCGGAGGTCAGAAGGAATTTTTATGCAAGATGGCGCACCAGCACACACCGCAAAGCGGACACAAGAATGGTGTGCGGAACACCTCCCAGGGTTTTGGGGTAAAGGGGAGTGGCCTGGCAACTCCCCCGACCTAAACCCGATAGAGAATGTGTGGGCAATCATGAAGGAGAGCCTCGACCAGCAGGAGCCCGCCACCAACCTGGGTCAGCTCGAGCGCCGGCTGAAGAAGGCCTGGAGAAAGATCTCCGCGGACACACTGCGCCGCCTGGTGGCCAGCATGCCATCACGTGTCCAGAAGTGTGCCCGGCTTCGCGGTGACTATGTTGGTTGTTAAATAAAGCGGAAAGGACAACTCTGAAGTGTTTAATTTACAACGTTAAGGATGTTGCAAAACTTTCGGGACACCCTGTATATCTAGTTATCTCCCTATCAGCTTGAAAAGACACCCTTATCTACCCGCACTACACGGGTGACTTCAACGTCTGCCTATCGTCGCCGCGCAGACCTGCGGCTCAGTTGCGCCGTCGTCACTCATGGCACGCGGACCGGGCGGGGCCGGGTACAGTGGGGTCAAGGTCACGATCCTCGCGTCTGATAACTGTCTGTCTCCGGGCGGCTGCCGGCTGATAACGGTGTCAGATGACCAGTGGTGGGGCCTCTGCGGGGGGGGGGGGACGGGGAGCGGTGAGCGCGCCGTGAGAGGCGCAGAGGGGTCCAGAGGGCTGGGGTGTGGGACTGGTCCTGCGTGTCTGCTGCGGAAGGTGAGCTGGTGTGGTTTTACTAGATCGGTGCGATTGGTAGACGTTAGCGAAGTGACGTAGTCGAGCCATCACTGGTGTGCGTACAAAGTGCCTGTGCGTGAGGAACATCGCTCAGCGCTCGTCGGTTTGCTAATAACATTTTCAGTCTTGTGATATACCTATTCGTGTGTCGTCGAGATAAATTGTCTTGACCGGAATACTGATCCGGAACTCTAGTTCATAAAGGTACTATTATATTGTTTTGTAACACGGGAGTGTCGTTTATTCTCAGAATGACTTGCCCAATGCCTTTATTTTGCGTCGCCCCATTCGCTATGTAGCTCGCCACGCAGCTCCTATAACTCTCTCTCTCTCTCCCACCGGCAGGTAGCTCGGCGCGATGGCCGGGGGCGAGGGGGCTGCCTCTGGGGGCGGCTGGCGGCAGACGCTGGTCCGCCTCATGGAGCGTCACCGCGGTCTGATCGTGGTGCTCTTCTGTCTGCCGGCCTCGTTTCTGTTTGACGTGGCGTTCCGCCTGCGCGCCTGGGTCCGCCGAGAGCTGCTGGCGGCGCCCAACAAACACCACCAGCGGGTGGCCGAGATTCAGGCCCGGGTGAGTTCCGAGGGGATCGTGATTGGGTGGTCAACGAGTGAGGTATGTGCTTATAGAAAGCTGGGAAATAATTCGTTCACGCTGGGGAACTCACTCGATGGGATCTCGTTGGGATCGGTGCAGGCAAACACGACTGCATGCTACGAGTGTGACAGTGGACTGAATAAACAAAATAGGCGTAATTAATGAGTAATGACAGTGAGCGTCTCGTTCGGGTTTGTCTGCTCTCGGTACGGGCCCAATCCCGGACGGTAGGTTGTGACGCCTCGCCTGCTCAGTGCTCATGGCTATCGCCCTTCTTGTTGTCAGGTGCTGCGATGGAACAAGCTACCTCCATCTGAGCGGAAACTGATGTGCACGGACCGACCCAACTGGCTCAGTCTCTCCACCACATTCTTCAGAAAGGTCAGCAGCTGGAAGACGCCGTCGTAACTGAACGAGAAATCTGACCTTTTTATGTTATAATTCTGATTAGCTGTGGATGTAGATGGTTGTTTGAACCATTCAATGTTTGTCTTCCATGAAGTCGTATTTAGCTGTGAAAAAACGCTGTAGTGCTACTGAATAGTTTTAAAAATAAGCTAGCAAGAACTCTTATATAGGCTTGGCAAGAACACCCACAAGCTCGTACTGAAATGTTTGTTCTTTGCTCAGCCCATTATTTCCGTCATTTAGTAATGCCACTTTCTGTAAACCGCCACTCATTGAACATGCTGTGAAATTCCGTGGCCTGTACGATCTCTCATTCCCAGGATCTCTGCCACCGAATCCCGGTACCGCTGTACGACATCCTGTCGCTGAACGAGAGCCAGATGACGGTCAAGGTGGAGCCCATGGTCAGCGTCGGACAGATCACAGAGTTCCTCATTCCGCAGGGTGCGTGACCGATGGAGTATGGACTCAGTATGTCTCTTTGAACATCATTATAGCGCAAAATGTAGATGTATGTAGATTGTAGATGGATATAGGTATCGCTATCGACGGTCTAGCCGTGGCTCATATCGAAGGCAGATGGTAACCCATTCAGCTAGGCTAAAGTTGTATCGTTTTTCGCCGTTATCGCCAGTCTTGAGTCTCGTTCTTTTGTAATAAGGTTTTCGAAAAAGAAACCAAAGTTTTTTCTTCATACATGTAGTGTCGAGTCCTCCCGTGTGCTTCCGTCCAGTTCCACGTCCTTCAAACTCACTGTTTAGCCACCACCATGATATTAAAATAAGAACAAACGGCGATAACGTTACATAACAGACTCCAGCCCAGTGAGCTGGCTCGGCGTCTACCAGCCTCGGCAGCCGCTCCTCTGCTCTCGTGGCCGGTGTCAGACTGAGCGCCGCCGGCGCCGCACGACCCGTCAACGGTCAGCGCCGCCCAGTCACGCGGGCGGGGCTGCGTCATAACGTACAGTACGTCGTGAGCCGTCAGGCTTAGACCGAACTACGACGCTAGCGCGTCACACAATACTACGCACAACACTACATTTGCCCCTCACAATAATAACGACGACCTGATCGCGTAAAGCGTGACACTCCGTCGCCCCCGACGGTTGGCGACTGCCGTTGCACTGCAGTGGACGCTGGAGGTGATAACGGCGACGCACGCTCTAGGGGTTCATCTGACGGGTCCACTTCCTCACTCGAGTCAGAATCAGTCCCATGACACGAAATACAGTCACCTCGACTCAGAGATGGTGCCCGCGACGGCACTCGACGGCGGACGTCGCGATCCGCCGGACACAGCGTCTCAGTGCCCCCGCCGATCCCGCGAGGCGCACCGCCCGCCTCCGTCTCTGACGGCTCCATCGACGGTGTCCACCTGGAGAGCCGCTCAGCGTGGATTCTGGTGCCGTCGTCCAGGCGGTACGAAGCCGGGCCCGTCTGTTGCACGATCTGTCGGCGACCTGAGAAACGAACATGCCCCTTTCGGGGCCGGGGCATCAGCTTATACCGCACCCAGTCTCCTACAGCGAAATCAGGAACACGAGCCCGGTTACGTGCATCCCACAACTTCTTCTGCGCCAGCTGCTTATCAGCCACGCGATCCCTCACAGCCTGGTCGTCAGACGAGCGACCGCTCTGCACGCCAGATCGGACATCAGCAGCCACCTCCAGCTTTGTTCGTAGCTGCCGACCGTGTAGCAGCTCCGATGGGCTCTTACCGGTAGTAGCATGAGGTGTTGCCCTGTAGTTCTGCAGAAACGTCTGCATGTACCTTCGTCGGTCGACGCCCTCCAAGTCCGCCATCTGCAGGGCCGCCTTGATGCTCCGGTTCATCCGCTCCACCGCTCCTGACCCTGCTGGATGGTAAGGAGACACGCGAATGTGATCAATGCCCATACTCTGGAGGTAAGTCGTGAACTTGTCTGACGTAAAATGCGTTCCGTTATCTGTGACAACTTCTTTAGGAAGTCCCTCTCGGGAGGCCACTACATCCATGAACTCGATCACTGCGTCACTTGATGGCTCCCTTGTGAATGCCATTTCGACCCACTTCGAATAATAATCAACCATCACGATGGCATACCTTTGATGCAGCGGTCCTTGCATCGGGCCGATGAAGTCGATGCCCAGCTTGTCCCAGGCAACATCCGGGAACGGGACTGGCATCAGCGGTGCTCTGCGTGACTTCACCGTTTTGTCAGACAGGGCGCATGCATCACACTCCTTCACGGCCGTCTCTACAGCAGCATCAAGACCTGGCCACCAGTACACTGCCCGCAGGCGCTGCTTGGTACGTATGATCCCCGGGTGGCTCTCATGTGCCAGGGCCACCAATCTCTCCCTCAGACACTCTGGTACTACCACCCGCTCTCCCTTGAAAATGAGGCCACCCATCAGACTTAACTCATCACGACATCGGAAGAATGGCTTCAATTCAGGTGGGACCTCACCTATGCGACTTGACCAACGTCGGGTGAGCTGCTCAGACAGCTTGACCAGCACCGGGTCGGACGCGACAGCATCGGCCAGTTCTCTGCTGCTCACCGCCGTCAGTCGTGAAGACAGCGAGGCAACCAGCTGAGACTCGTCGTCTTCCACTTCCACCGCTGGACCTGGTGCACGGGAGAGTCCATCAGCCGGGTTGAGCACCCCCTTCAGATGCTGGACTGAAAAAGAGTAAGTCATCAGCCGGCTAGCCCATCTTGACATACGCATTCCAGCACGTCCGATCCCATTCGCTGTGATCAAGGTGCGCAGCGCAGCATGGTCTGTTCTCAGGATAAAGTCTCGCCCCCAGAGGTACTTATGCCACTTTTCACATGCCCAGACACAGGCAAGTGCTTCCCTCTCCGAAACGCTGTAGCGCCTCTGCGTTTGACTCAATGTGCTTGATGCGAAACAGACTACTCGCTCACCTTCTGGGTGCATCTGAGACAAGACAGCACCGAGTCCCACGTCGCTGGCGTCGGTTGTGACGATCGTCTGAAGTGCCGGGTCGAACATCGCCAGCGCGTTCGACTGCAGGATGGCCTCAGTGACGTCCTTCAGCGCTGCCGACATCTCCGGCGTCCAGGCAAACTCCGGCGCGTCTTTGCGGAGCTGCCGTCTCAGAGGTTCAACCCGGGTGCTGTAGTTCTTGACGAACTTCGCGTAGAACCCTAGGGTTCCCAGGACTGACTGAAGCTTCTTCTTATCAGTCGGCTGCTGTAGGTCTCGAAGGCCCTGAACGCGCTCTTCAGAGACTGCCACCCCCTTCGGAGAAACTGCGAATCCAAGAAACTCAACCGATGAGACGCAAATCCTGCACTTGTCCCAGTTCAAGGTGATGTTTCTGGCCTGCATCCGCTCGATCACCCTCCTGAGACGCTGGTCGTGCTCCTCCTGTGATCTGCCAGATACAATCACGTCATCGAGATACACTTGAACGCCCTCCAGCCCTTCCAACACACATTCCATCATCTTTTGGAAGCACTGGGGCAGCGATTTCAGACCAAAAGGGCAACGTTTATATCTCCACACCTGTCCTTCATGAATGAATGCAGTCAGATCACGGGAGCTCTCGTGCAGCTCTAGTTGATGGTACGCAGCTTTCATGTCTAATGAAGAGAAGACAACTGCTCCCTGAAGACGGTCTAGCATTTCCTGCATATCTGGGATCGGATGACCGTTCGCGATCACTGCTTTGTTTACCTCAGTCAGATCAAGGCAAACTCGAAGCTTACCGTTCCGTTTACGGACGGCCACGATCGGAGAGAGCCACGGCGAGGTGTGTTTGCCGACCTTCTCGATCACACCTTGCTCCTCCAGCTCTTGCAGGTGCTTGGTGACGTCCTCCCTCACAGCGTAGGGCAGTGACCGCAGCTTCTTCTTCACAGGCTCCACGTCAGCCCGAAGCCTGACCTTGTGGACGAAGCCGTTGATTGCTGGGAGCTGGCTGGTCTGTTGGACAAGACAAACATCAGTTCCATTCTTCACAGTCACTCCAAGTGTCCTCTGCAGGTCTCTTCCTAGCAAGGGAATCTCAGCATCAGCTACATAGAACTCTCCTTCTGTCTGTCGACCACACGGGGTTGTTACTAAAGCGCTGAAGACTCCCTGCACGCTGATGCCCGCACCGCCATACGCTTCTAGCTTTACCGTGGCCCTGGTCAGCGGAAACTTACTCAAGGTCTCCCGATACAGCTGCGTGGGTATGATGCTGACTGCTGCACCTGTGTCCACCATCATCGACACGTCATGACCTCCAATGCCAACGGTGTACCACGGACAGTTCGAAGGCATGCTCTTTTGAACGGTAAGCACCTGTACTGCCCCCACCTGACGATCTTTAGCATCTGTGTCATTCCGCTTTGTACGACAGCAACGACTGAAATGACCTGTCTCATGGCATTTGTAACACTGCTTCTCTTTTGCAGGGCATCTCCTATCACCCGACCGGTGTCCTCTCCTACCACAGGCATAGCATGGACCGTACCGGAGGCTGCGAACGGGTTCACATACCTCTTCTTGCTGTTCAGCAGCTGGTCCGACTTCTGCTACCTGCGCAGCTGCTGGACCGGTTGATCCCTCTGCAGCACCTCTCAGGACGCCTCGCCGCTGAAGACCACGATCGACCGCCTCGGCGATGTCCTCCAGCTTCTCCAGGGTCAGGTTATCCTTCAAAAGAAGCTTGTCACGCAGCTGGTCAGACAGACATCCCTCAATGAACTGGTCTCTAACCATTTCGTCCCTCAGATCACCAAAGGAGCATCTTTGAACAGCTTCTTTCAAGTTTGCAAGATAGACGAGAGCTGTTTCTCCCGGCTGTTGAACACATCGTCTGAATCTTACCCTTTCAGTTCGTACATCAGCGTCTTTTACAAACAACTTCTCCAAGATCTTTACTGTACTGTCGTACATTGACGTGGGGTCATCCTTGATGTCAGCGTCTGACTCAACAGAAGACTCGACTGATTCAATCGCTCTGAACAGCCTACGGGCCTCTGTGCCAACGCAGTGCAATAACAAAGCCTTCTTCCTACCAGCTGGCCAATCATGCCATCCGCTAGCCTCACCATAGATCAGGAAGTCAGCGTACCACTGCTTCCACGGCAAAGTAGGCTTCTGACCCGCGATCGACAAGTACTCACTCGGTGGGGTTGCTTATCTCATCCTTGTCGCCAAAATGTAGTGTCGAGTCCTCCCGTGTGCTTCCGTCCAGTTCCACGTCCTTCAAACTCACTGTTTAGCCACCACCATGATATTAAAATAAGAACAAACGGCGATAACGTTACATAACAGACTCCAGCCCAGTGAGCTGGCTCGGCGTCTACCAGCCTCGGCAGCCGCTCCTCTGCTCTCGTGGCCGGTGTCAGACTGAGCGCCGCCGGCGCCGCACGACCCGTCAACGGTCAGCGCCGCCCAGTCACGCGGGCGGGGCTGCGTCATAACGTACAGTACGTCGTGAGCCGTCAGGCTTAGACCGAACTACGACGCTAGCGCGTCACACAATACTACGCACAACACTACAATACATCTAGTAAAGTTTCGGTGCACATCCGGTAATAGCTTCGTGAATTTGGTCCAATATGGACTCGGAGAGGAATAGTCAGCGACCTTCACGTGCTGAGCGTTATATCTGCCTTGTTTGCGTCTGACCACTGCTCTTCGGTCTCACGTACAGGATACACGTTGGCTGTGACGCTGGAGATCGCGGATGCAACCCTGGGAGGTCTGGCCATGGGTGTCGGCATGACGACCTACTCACACAAGGTAGGCACGTTTTGGTTCTTTCACAGTTATTGTCAAGTAAAAGCCTATCCTTGTTGAAAATCGCCGTCTGTGAAAGAACTAAGTGCTAAGATGGTGACTTGTTATACCCACCAGCTGTCAGTCCTATTTCACCACATATGGACAATTACATAACCGGCTATTTATTCCCGGTGCCATTTGTCAGCGCCTGAGTTCCGCTGTATCTGTGCTTCGGGTCGATATTAGACTGCATTTAAGGCTCTAATTCCCATGCCTAAGTCTCCCATTGTATCTTCATTTTCCCACCCCGTTCTTCGTCCATTTCAGGTGGGTCTGTACCAGGAGGCGATCCGGGCGTACGAGGTGGTGCTGGGAGACGGCAGTCTGGTGCGAGTCACGCGCGACAATGAGCACCGGGACCTGTACCACACGCTGCCCTGGTCGCACGGCACGCTCGGCTTCCTGGTGGCTCTCGAGCTCGACATCGTCAAGGTCAAGGTGGGTCACCCGGGCACGGTCATCGTTAGCTGTTAGGGATTTTTTTCTTCTAAAGCTTCGACTGCTCTTTTTGACGATTTGTTATGTCGGTCTTGTACGAAGCTTGAGCGGTTTTTCGTGGACTTATCAATAACAATGTTACGTTCTAGCCTTGTGTGTGCTGATCACTTTCCCGTCTACCTGTGCCCGGCAGCCGTATGTCCATATGAAGTATATCCCGGTGACTGGCCAGAAGAAATACTGTGATATGATCAGGGATCTCTCCGGAGCCAACGACAAGGACAAACAGGTATATTGTGCTTGTAGGACGGTTGTAACCTGAAACTGTAACCGGCCAAAGAACTCAAATTTCTAGTTTGATGTTTCATGTGTGCAAATAATCTTTTGACACGAGTGCTTTGCCTCAGTTTCTATTAATATGCGGTTCATAGACAAATCACGGTTAAACATTTAGTAATCGTTTATCCACCCGGCCTCTAATGGACGTTTTCCTTAGTTAAGCGCGACACTGTATTCGTTGTCCGCTCATGAGAGGCTTCCAATGTTCCACGTTGAGCATGGTTGAGCTATGAATATATACCAGAGTTGAGATTGCCATGCCACTGTTCCCGCTCCGGCAGACTGCCGACTACCTGGAGGCCACTGTGTACAGTAAGGAGAGGGCCGTCATCATGGTGGGCAACTTCGCCGACCTGCCGCCCGGCCAGGAGCACAAGGTAGGGTAGCAGCGTATGGTGGTTGACCACGCTAGCACTGTGGATTGTAATGAAATCTAGATTCCCGCGAAATGCCCAGCGGGAGTTCCGCTATCGTTGAAATGAGATAGCATTGCAGGAATCTGGTTCATGCTTCATTTTCTTATTATCTACATTGCATTTCTATAGAAATCACTAGCTGGTTGCCTGTTGGTGCCTAGCTGGTTGGTAGTTGGTGCCTGCGGCTTTCGTGTCGCTGCTGTCACGCTGGCCGAGCTGCGGGAGGTAGTGTTCTCCATGAAGCGTTCTGGTGCGTGCGGGCCTGATGGTATATGTATTCGCATCCTTCTCCTTTGTTTTGATGCCATAGGTCCCATCCTACTCCATATTGTCAATACCTGCCTTACCTCCTGTGACTTTCCCGATTCCTGGAAGCACTCCCTGGTTCATCCTATCTACAAATCCGGTGATCCTACCCTTGTCTCAAACTACCGTCCTATATCCATTGTTCCCATCATGGCAAAAACAGTTGAACGGCTGGTACAGCGGCAGCTGTTTGCCTTCATGTCCGATAACCATCTCCTCTCCCCGTCCCAGCATGGTTTCCGCCGCCACCATTCCACTGAAACCGCACTCCTTTCCGTCACGAACCGTATCTTTTCGAACATGGACCACGGTCATGTCTCACTGTTGTGCCTCCTCGACCTCAGTAAATGTTTCGATGTTATCCCTCACGACCAACTCCTAACCAAACTTCAGCTTTATGGTATCGATCCTTCATGGTTTTCATCTTATCTCAGTGGTCATACTCAGTCTGTCTGCATCTCTTCCTCTACCGGTGACAGAGTAGTTTCCAAGCCTCTTCCCAACACCATGGGAGTCTTCCAGGGATCCGCCCTTGGTCCTTTGTTGTTCACAATCTTCTCCAATGATCTCAGCTTGCACGCGCCGGACGCTCATGTGACCCAGTACGCTGACGACACCCAAATCCTCCTATCCGATGTCAAACGCAACCTTCCTGATCTCATCCTGCGCATGGAGTCCACCCTGTCTTCTTTAGCATCGTGGTTCCATGCCCACGGCCTTAAGCTCAACGAATCCAAAACGGAAATCCTTCTCCTTGGCACCCGCCAGAACACCCGTAACCTACCACCTGTCAGCGTACGGGTCGGTGGCGAGACCATTCAGGAGAGCCCTAGCGTTAAAAACCTCGGTGTGACGTTTGACCGTCACCTCAGCTGGGACGTTCACGTCAGTGACGTGGTTCAAAAGTGCGTCGGCCTCCTGATAGGTCTCCGCCACCTGAGACACTTCCTCCCGCGGCATGTGATGTTAACCATTGTGCAGGGGCTGGTCATCTCGCGCGTGAGATATTGTATCTCGGTGTATGGCAACGGCTCGTCTAAAAACGATACTAGACTGCTTAAAGTAGTCAATTTTGCCGCGAGAGTGGTAACGGGGCTAAAGAAGTTCGACCATGTGTCTCGCGCGCGGGATGACCTGCACCTGCACACGCCTCGGCAAATGTGTGATATGCAGACAGCGATTGCTGCTCACAAAGCCATTTTATATCAAGAACCCGCCGAGCTTGCCATGCTTTTACATACCCATGCTGACACTAGGAATGATGAGCGTTCGACTAGACAGGACAACTGTTTGCGCCTCTCAGCCGTGCGCACAGCGACGGGGCAGCGCTGTTTTCAGTACCGCGCTGCTAGTCTCCTCAACTCCATGCCGGGAGACGCGAGAAATCTAGACCCCGCGGCATTTAAACGAGCTGTGAAACGTATTTTTACTCGGCGATGACTTGTATGCGTGACTGTGTGTACTGTGTGTGCGTGTGTGTCGTGTCATTGTGTGTGTGTTTATGCGACATCATTGCCTTGCTCTTTTATTCATCTCTGACTAAGGACACGTAAAAGCTACGCGTTGCTGTAGAGTGTCTGCTATTGTCAAATACAAATACAATTCAAATAGCCTTCCTAGGCTTTCGAAACCGCAACCAACTCTCAGAATCGCTTTTTCATCTGCAAAGCTAATAACCGCCCCCCCCCCCCCCTCTTGCATGTCTGAAGGTGAACCACATCACGCGCTGGTACAAGCCGTGGTTCTACAAGCACACGGAGAGTTTCCTTCAGCGCGGCGAGGGGGACGAGTACATTCCACTGCGCGAGTACCTGCTGCGGCACAACCGGGCCATCTTCTGGGTGGTCGAGGCCATGATCCCGTTCGGAAACAACCCGCTCTTCCGGTGAGTGCGATGGATTAGCAACAGAATGCACGGTTGATCTTGAGATGATACACCGAGTTTTATTCACCGACTTTTGTGTCTGTACCTATGCTTCGACGAGGATCTGGAGTTGTTATGCTCTCTGCTTATGTTATGTGTTTGATGATGAAAGTTTAGCGCAATGATGTTCAAGCGCGATGTTCCCTATCCCTCTGGCAGGTTCTTCCTGGGCTGGCTGCTGCCTCCGAAGCCCGCGTTCCTGAAGTTCACCACCACGCCCGGTGTGCGGGCGATGACCTTCACCAAACAGGTGAGAGGACGTCATACTCGGGTCTTATTCTGCGCTTACAATCCGTTGGCACATTCGCTAATGTTTGAATGTTTTGACTGTTTTCCGTTAGTTTGAACATGCATGGAAACATATATTTTTCTCTCTCGAACTGAACTTGTGAGTCACACGTATCATGTGCCTGTGTGGGCACATGATCGTCCTATAAAGCCGTAATTGTTCTGCCCCTCGTTAGGTGTTCCAAGACATCGTGCTGCCGATGAACATTCTGGAGAAGCAGATCGACGTCAGTGAGGAGCTGTTTGACACGTACCCGATCCTCGTCTACCCGTGCCGCATCTACGATCACGGAGAACACGCGTAAGGAAACCCATACCTTGGCGGTCTTATCATGATGCTTGATCGGATTGTATACCAATTTTGTGTTAGGATGGAATGTGGCGGATAGAAGCTGCTTAGAAGATTATGCTGATTTACCATGCATGCCTAACCGAGTTCGTGGTTTCAATACCATCTTTGATCTTGGTTTCATTGCCATCGTATATTCAACTGACAAAATCTATCGAAATCGAAGTTCGTGAGATAAACGTGCACAGTGCACATGTTGTTCCGTACTGCGCTGTGGTGTCCCGTGGCTACGTGTTGCATCTAACCGACCTCCGACCGTCTGCAATCCGCAGTGGCCAGCTGCGGCCGCCGCGGCCGGACCAGCGCTGCCCGGGCGCCGACTGGGGCATGTTCAACGACCTGGGTGTGTACGGCGTGCCGGGACCCGTGCGGCGCAAACAGCGCTACGACGCCGTCAAACAGATGCGCGCCATGGAAAAGTGAGTGTCGGCTCCCGGTGGTGTGGTCTTGGTGCATCGTCTATAACTATAAGTACTCCACTGCCTGTTAGCGGGGTAATTTTAGGATATCCTCGGTTACGGGCTAGGGAGTAGGGATACCCCAGCTGATGCTCCACGTCTGCCAGCTGCTAATCCAACCCTTCTCTCCCGGTGTCGTCAGGTTCTGCCGCGAGGTGGGCGGCTACCCGTTCCTCTACGCCGATATATTCATGGACCGGAAGGAGTTTGAGCAGATGTTCGATCTCACCGCGTACGAGCGCGTCCGGGAAAAGTACCATGCCAATGGCGCCTTCCCGCATCTCTACGACAAGGTGGGTGCACTGATTCTCGGCCTAGCGTGGCCTTCTCGATGATGTGGCATATGTGCTTATGATCACCATCTTTCCCGGTATGACAATACCTTACCCCTAGTGGCGTATCCCTTGCTATTTAAGAAAAGTGACTACTTTAACAATGTACACTAGCTCAACAGTGTATTTGTTTCTGTTCTCAGGTGAAGCCAGAGATCGACGTCTTTGCAGTGGGCGAGGAGTACATTGATCCTCTGTAGTCTACCATCACCCTGCTAACCTCACACCCTAGACCGTGACTTCGCGCTACTGGGATAAGGCTACCGGTGGTTACACCGTGGTTGACGTTCCCTGCTACCCGTGACTGCCGACTGATGACTGCCAATGTCGTTGCAAACGTGATGCGTGTTACAAATCTATGTTTATCGTATGTGACAGACATGCTTTGTCTCGAGGACAATGTTATTTGTTATCATGTTTTATGTCAACTATCAATATACGTGAACTGCACTGAACGTCCAATTTATTAGTGTTTGCGTTGCTAGCCGATAGTATTTGTGAACAGTCGTGGTGCGGATGTGATTTGCTATGTGTACTGCGTATAATTCTAACGTCATCGATGCTCCAGGTCACCGATCGCCTACCGGAACCGGTATCATCGTCCCACGTAGCCGTTGCGGCGTATCGTCGCGTCGATGGTTCGCACGGTGCAGTCTACACCCGATCTATCGTACCGTAGCTCTGCAATGGCCTTTCGAGGCCAAAATGCTTTTCCCAGCCCCGCCCCGAAAAAACAGCTATGCGTCCAAGGAGAACGACAAATTTCCATCGATTTCGGACGCTGTGTGAGAACAGTCTCTAATTGCAGGCTCTGCTGGGTCCTCCAGCCATAAAAATACTCCTGATAACAGTGCCTTTATTTCTTGTGCCAAAACTTAGCAATAACTCAAGGCCATATAAGGCGGTAACTTTTTTTTTTTTTTTATCGTTTAGGAAGGAGCATCTGACGTGTTTCTTGCGTACGCTTTATTTTAGTGGTCTTGTTTCGGGTGCGAACGAGTGCAAAGGTCTGTTTGCCTTTGGATCGAAACTGAATAATTCTGACGGTCGTCAAGTTAGATGTAAGTGAATCCTAATCTATAATCTAAGATTCGGAATCAGGTGAGCCCCTACGATTTGGACCAAACTTGGTCAGTGGATAGAACGTAACGTCCTGATTACGATGCACCCAAAATCTAAGCTCGGCCCGCCAAATTTACGAAGTTACGGATGTTTGAATTTCAAGGTCATTCGGGAGAGCCCCTGCGATTTCCGTCAAAATTTGTGTACGGACACTCTAGATGCTCCTTATTACGAATATCACAAAATTTAAGCTCGGCCCGCCATATTTACGAAGTTACGGAGGTTTGAATTTCAAGGTCATTTGGGTGAGCCCCTGCGATTTCCGTCAAAATTGGTATACGGACATATTACATCCTCCTCATTACAAATATCATAAAAGTTAAGCTCGGCCCGCCATATTTTTCAAGTTACGGAGTCACAAAGTTACGGAATTTCAAGGTCATTCGGAGAGCCCCTCCGATTTTCGTCAAAATTTGTATGCGGACACATTACATGCTCCTCATTACAAATATCGTAAAAGCTAAGCTCGGCCCGCACTATTTCAAAAGTTACTGACGTTTGAAACTCACTGAAATTCAAACATCTCTAACTTTTGAAATAGTGCGGGCCGAGCTTAGCTTTTACGATATTCGTAATGAGGAGCATGTAATGTGTCCGCATACAAATTTTGACGAAAATCGGAGGGGCTCTCCGAATGACCTTGAAATTCCGTAACTTCGTGACTCCGTAACTTGAAAAATATGGCGGGCCGAGCTTAACTTTTATGATATTTGTAATGAGGAGGATGTAATATGTCCGTATACCAATTTTGACGGAAATCGCAGGGGCTCACCCAAATGACCTTGAAATTCAAACCTCCGTAACTTCGTAAATATGGCGGGCCGAGCTTAAATTTTGTGATATTCGTAATGAGGAGCATCTAGTGTGTCCGTACACAAATTTTGACGGAAATCGTAGGGGCTCTCCCGAATGACCTTGAAATTCAAACATCCGTAACTTCGTAAATATGGCAGGCCGAGCTTAGATTTTGGGTGCATCGTAATCAGGACGTTACGTACTATCCACTGACCAAGTTTGGTCCAAATCGTAGGGGCTCACCTGATTCCGAATCTTAGATTATAGATTAGGATTCACTTACATCTAACTTGACGACCGTATAATTCTGCTCATGCAGCGAGCGACGTTTGTTTTTTAACCAATCAGAGAAGAGCTCTGTGTGTTTACGTGAGCGCTTTTTGCGTGGTGGAACAGACGCGGGTACCTTGAGGCGAATTCTACATTGTTTACGGTGGTTAGCCCGAGATTCACTATAGGAAGGCAACTATGAATCGACTCATTGTGAGCTATCACAACCTTCTTAAACGACTTATCGGGTTATCGAAATTTGAGAGTACGAGTATGACATGTGCATATTTTAGAGTGCTGAATTGTGAAAGCGTGTTCAGGAAACTTATTTATAAGTTTCTGAGAAGACTTGAACAAAGCCCCAATAGCATCATTGAAGCAATCAATTCAGGGGATCTCCGTTTCAGATCAAAACTGAGACGCTTTTGGCTCAGTAAGCTCTATTGTCATGCTGTGCTACATTGAATGTGCATCGACTGGGAGTGTGCCTTAATCGATGTTTGTTGTTCATCCATCATCCATCTGGTACATCCATCATCAACTCATAGCAATGGACTGTTAGTCTGAAATACAAATCTATCTATCTATCTATCTATCTATTCACGAGGAGGTATGAGTTTTTTTTTTTGCATTTGTATACGATAGTTTCAATGGTTGATGGCTTGAGAGTATTTCTTATTAACCTTGGTTATGACATGATATTTTTGTCTTTCATTTGACTCGTATCAATGTGTTATGTTTTGGAAGCTAGATGGATGATAAACTAAATCAAACTATTTCATATTAGATGAGTTTCAGTACTACTAGTGTTTTTTCAATTGATGGGCTGAACCAGTTCAGGTTGAATTACTTAAAGGGACCCTCCCACCTTCAAAAAAGTTAATGAATTGGCATGAAAGTGATGTCGCTCGTTTCAGAAAGAGCAAAAACGAATATCTACCAAATTTCATCGAAAAATATTCACCGGTTTTCAAGATATTAGACTTTTACATTTGTTTACTTTTTGGGATCTCCGCTGTTCCTAGCGACTTTATTTGAAAGTGCGGCATTTGTTGCGCGCAAAGCAGCATATACCACCGCGTGCTACAAAACGTTTTAGTCAAACATTCAACGGACATTCGAAAGCCTGATGACGTCATCAGATTCCCGTAATGGTTAAGAGATAGGGACCACGCTGGTCCCACCCTGCAAGTAAAGGGAAGAAATTTCTTGAACACCATAAAGCTGCGGGGCTTGCGACCAGGATAAATGGTGGTTTCTGAGCCTGGCCGCAAACTTGGCTATCTCAACTCAAAACTAATGTTAAGGTGGGAGGGTCCCTTTAAGTTGTCAGAGAAGTATGTTCATAGACTCTTATCCAAACTGCAAAATGTGACGACTGACATTGATTTCAGGACTTGCTGTATTGGCTGAACCAGCCCAGGAACCAGCCTGCCCCGCAGCCAGTTTATTAGGTTCCCACCAGTGTGAGCATTGCACCATGCATTAAAGAAGACTAATATTTTGTCAGCTTTATTTTCAGCTCAGTTTTAGTTGTTGATTGACTCTAGGCTGATGTATGGGGTATGCCGTATGGGGGTCACGTCACAGACACAACTGTGTCACACAATACTTTAAAGTATTGTGTCAATTGCACCATAAAGTTGGAATGTCTTTACTTAAGAGAAGTCAGAAGGGGGTGGCTGATAATGATAAGTAATGGCCCACTCCAGTATGCCACAGGACAGTATATACCACACATCAGCTTGGGCAGCACAGTGCACTGTGCAGCATCAGTGCTATAAAGGATGCTATAAAATATTACAAAAAATTCTGATACTTTGTAGTCTGGGTTGTTCAATGTTCATTGACTGCTGTCAATAGCATTGCTATCACATGATTTTTCCAACCAGATGAGATATATGAGTTATGACAATGGCTAACAACATCCAACTGTGCACCAGTCCTTATGTAAATAGCAATGCTGTTGGAAAAGATTGATTCTTTTATTGCTCCAGCCTTCTCAAAATGTAAAAAAGGACCCCAACAATATTTATCATTTGTTTGAGGTGATAATGTTCTATTTCTTTGTTTCAGTTTCCAGTTCATGATCTCAATGATCTATGATGAATGACTATTGCTAAATTAGCTGCAATATGAGTTGTGTTCAGCTTTGCAACAAAGGTCATAGGTGCTTTCATTTCTAGCAGCAGGTCAGTGAAATGCTTGAGCTTGAATCTAATGGTATTGAAGTGTCTAAGCTAAGTTGCTGTTGTAACTTGTAAGTTTTGTTCTTATTTCTTGCTTCTGATATGGCTGAGGCCAATACAACATATGAATGGCAAGATATATGCTAACACAGGTCTATGATATAGCACTGTCTCCTGTGTAGTGTGTTACTCTAGTCTGTACCCTCCCCCTCCTCTCCAGCGGCGTTGTCGCCATGTTCAACCGGTTCAAGTCGGCGCTGCTGAGCTCCGTGGGCGCGGCCGAGTCGGCGGCGGCGGTGGCGCAGGCGGCCGTTACCGACGGCGCAGAGGCGGCCGGCGGGCCCGCTGCTCGCCCCGCCAAGTTCGCCTACGGCCGGCCGGCGTTCCTGCAGCTGGAGACGGAGGACGAGCTGCAGGTGGCCGGCGACCGGGTCATCCGGCCCATCATCGTGCCGCGCGACAGCAGCCGGCTGCCCTGGACCGCCGGATACGCCGAGTCAGTGAGAGGAGCCGAGCCGAGCCACCGCGGGGGGGGGGGGGGAATAGTGACACAGACATCTGTGTGCCTGAGGGTGTCTCTGATTGTCAAACTAGTTTTTATTACTTGGATGAAGGTCGAACTTCAACGCTCGACTCATTTTTCAGGAAGACGTGAATTGATGACGTATCAACCTTACGCTTTGAATATGAATAATTCATTTGTTAGTTTGCCACAGCATATTTTCAACCAACATTTGTGAAGAAAATATGTTCCATCTCAATCCTTCATTTAGTACACAAACCGATGTCATATGTTGTTTACCTCACCGCTTTCTTCTCCCGCCGCACAGAGCGGTGAACGCCGGTAAGAGTAAACGTAACGAGGACGCGGCTGCGGTGTACACGGGCGTGCTGCACCAGCCGCCGCCGGGCGGGCCGGCCGGAGACGGGGACGGGGACGGACTGCAGCGCACCGGCCGCTCCGTACCCTACTACTACTTTGGTCTGTTTGACGGCCACGCCGGCCACGGCGCGTCGGTGGCGGCCGCCCACCAGCTGCACCACATCATACACGTGAGTCAGGAGTGCAGTGGTCTGTGATTGTTTGGTGACTGGTTGGTGTCTCTTGGTGTGTATTGAGTCGGCTTATTGTCTTTAGGATCCCAGCTGCTGATGATGTTTCAATAGATACTGGCTTAAGTTTAGCACGATTTATCGTATTCCGTTCCCATCCCGACCTCTTCAAACATATTCTACTTCGGTTATCTCGTTTTCCCTCCCCCAGGAGCGTCTGGTGGACGTGCTGGACCACCTGTTGCCGCCGGACCCGTCAGCTGCCGAGGCCGCCCCGGCGCCCGGGGTGCGGGCCGCCTCCCTCTGGATACCCGCCGAGGAGGTGGCTCCGGAAAAACTGGTCACCGGCGCTCTGGAGGCGGCCTTCAACGATATGGTGAGTAGTGACAAACGCTGCATAAGCGCTGGCAAAACGCTGTTCAGCTCGGATAGCTGGTCTGTTGATGGACGATGGTATTCATTATATCATGCTGTTTCTTATCGGCATAGCTCTACAGACTCGTCATCACCGTTGCCTTGCTCCCTCGGCTGCCGTTAGGACGCGCTGATAGCCGAGGACCGTCTCAAGTACGACATGCGCGGCGGCTGCACGGCCGTGGTGGCGCTCCTCTTACTGGGTCGGCTGTACGTGGCCAACGCGGGCGACTCGCGCGCCACCTACTGCCGCCATGGCCGAGCAGTGATCGCCTCACACGACTTCACCCCGGAGACGGAGCGGCACCGCGTCAGACAGCTGGTGGGTGACGGGAGGGGACGATGGGAGCGGGAGAGGAACTGGTGGGTATGCATGTGGTGGATGGCGATGTTACGCTTAGTGGGTACAACAGTAATTGACGGGTGGGAGACATTAGTGGAGTAAGGATAGTTCGAGTTCTGGAAGAGAATGTCCACAAAACTCATGTTGCTTTGCTCTCAGTCATCGGTTTTCATCATTCGTAGTTTTTTCATCACCAACCTGAGGAATCTTCTTCTCTGCTACCCGCAGGCCTTTCAGTTATAGTCGGGCTCTAACCAACCTCCCTCTGCTTCCACCGACAGGCCTGTCAGCAGCCGGCGCTGACTGGCGGAGAGTTTACTCACCTGGATTTTGCCCGCCGGGTCGGTCGCCGAGACCTGGGCAAACGGGTGCTGTACCGGGACGCACACATGACCGGCTGGGCGTACAAGACGGTCACTGAGCGAGACCTGCGCTTCCCCATCGTGTGCGGCGACGGAAAACGGGTGGGTGAGAGGCGGCGCCAACCGGCGTGGGTGACTGGTGTGTGATAGGTGACAGGCGTAGATGGCGATCACTTGGTGGAAAAGTTGGGTTGCGCATGATGATCCGTTGTTAGTTCAGTTGTCGCAGTATGTTGTTAGTGCTCATTAGAAGGCGATTGGATGCAGGAATCGGTGGTGGTTATTTATAGCTAAAAAATTTACGCTGATACGTTTTTTTCTGCTTGATTACGGTAACAAGTAACACAACGATTTGTCCATTGTTTCCCCGGCATGCGCTGCTGCCACATTATCCGGTTGCTGGTACCTGACTGGTGCGCCTTGCCCTCTCCTTTGCAGAGTCGGGTGTGTGCCACAATCGGAGTGACTCGCGGCTTCGGTGACCACGACCTCAAGGCGCAGAACACCAACGTCAACATCAAGCCCTTCCTCTCCTCCCAGCCGCAGGTGAGAGGTTATCAGCTACCAGCCTCCATTGTATAGTAAATGTACTAAGTGTAGTACTAAGTGAAGTACTAAGTAAAGTTATGGAAATCGGCGAGAACGGGCCCTACAGGTCATCGTGCCTCTTGCCCCGATAACACGAAGATGAAAATGAAGATGTAGTTTGCACAACAGTCGGGAGTGATAGTCACAAAAGAAGTCATTTTCTTGGAAACGAGGCAGGTTATTTGTGTGGGCTTTGGCGGGTGTACCATAAACCATCCTGAACTGAACCGCGTTGACAGTGAATTGCGGGATGCTGATTGCTGATGGGTGATCTGTCTATCCCACTGCCGTTTCGAAGGTGCTGGTGTCTGTCCGGTCTGACCCCTATGTCGTCCGCTCTACAAGTGCCGGTGGTTGACGTATAACTATGTTAATTGCTAGTCCGATATGGGTCCGTCCCTCTGACCCCTCACCTGCCTCAGCAGGCGCTGGTGTTTGACCCCCCCCCCCCTCCTCTACCGTTCGGCAGGTGCTGGTGGTTGACCTGGAGGAAGAGGCGGTCACCGAGTCGGACGTGCTGGTTATGGCCACCGACGGCCTCTGGGACGTCATCTCCAACGAGCGCGCCGCAGAGCTGGTGGAACAGTCGCTGGCTGCCTTCCCCGCTGATGACGTCACCAAACGGCGATATAGGTGAGACAGACGTCACCAAACGGCGATATAGATAGGCGAGACAGACATCACCAAACGGCGATATACCGGGTGTCCCAAAAGTAAGGTCATGATTTAAAACTTAAATATCTCGAGAAGTAAGAGTCCGAATCACTTCCAATTTTAACACGTGCAAGGTACATCCATAAAATTATTTTCTTGCATGCTTAAACCATTTTTGATCATAACTACACCGAGCAGTAGGCATAAAACTGAGAAGGTCGAAATTCAACTCTTAGAGAGGGTCCGTCATTAAAACAAAGGGTAAATACCGCCCAGTTTTCGGCCCTAAGCAGACCCTAGCAGCTCGCCCTATCTCTGAACTCATGCATAGTTTCGCCTCAACCGGTAAAACGTCAGAAAAAAGGTATAATGTACGCACAGGGCATGTATACTTAGCCACCTGTGCTTCGAGGTCATGAGGACGACAGCGGGAATCGGGTGTCAGTAAATCAAGATAGGTGGCCGAGAGTCCTCCCAGTGGTTCTTCCGCTCGTCGCAACGCAGCTGTGCCGACACCATCAGCCAGCAGTGGTTTCAGCAGGATGGAGACTATGCTTGCACCGTCCTGAAGATCATGCAATTGTCTCCGAGAGTGGATGTGAGATCCCGTAATTTTCAGTCAGGGCAACGCCATTGAATGGCCTCCGCGGTCACCTGACGTTACACCTTCATATTTTTATTCTCTGGATACACAACAGAAAGATTGTCTTTTAGGACAACCCAACGAGCCGGGAAGAACTAAAGGATGATCCCTTCGAGCAAACATAGGCGGCATCTCACCAGAGAATCGCTCCAGAATAGTGGAGGAAGTCAAACGTAGTCTATTCATGCACGCGGCCCGAAATGGTAGCCATGTAGAAAAGCAGCAAATGTGGGGCTACGAGCCAATGTATTGACTCATATGTATGTCAGAATAAAAATTTATAAAATGCTCTTTCATATGATGTCCTATTTATATCTATCCATCGCGTATTTTTGGCAGTGTGGCCAAAACAAATGATGACCTTACTTTTGGGACACCCTGTAGGTGAGACATACGTCACTAAAAGGCAATTTAGGTGAGGTAGCTGGCAGTTTAGTTATAACAGCTGAGGCAAACGTCTGCTGAGGGTGTTACAATTGCGTCAATGAATGGTGCTTGATGTACGACGTCAGATGATTTTTAGTTGACATACATACAGATAGACGCGACAGGGTGACCTTAACCCGGCACCGCCTGGGCTATTTCCGTACCCACGACAGCCTGGGGGGGGGGGGGGTCGGATCCGACCCCCCCTGTTATCTCAAGAACCAAGGGTCATATCGAGCCCCACGAGGCGGCGTTCGAAGACCTTCCCAAAGCCCTCTTAAGATTTTAAGATTGAGGTCAACTTTCGGGTCAAGGTCAGGCCAAAGGTCAAATTCTGGGGTTTTGCATGATTAGGCTTACGGACAGCGGAATCGATAGCTGCTGCTCAAAACTCACCAAAAATGACCTCAAAGACCTAGTGAAGGTACCATGTGCGTATAGGGGTCATACTAAGTACGGGTCAAGGTCAGGTCACGAAAGGTCACGGTTTTCACTTTCTGCCACGTCATGGGCGTGCGTCACATGTTTTATGGCTTATTTTTCACGCTGAATCCGATGGTAATGGCTATATGTGACCCCAAGTCAATTTGCTGGTGATAAGTGTGCATTGAAAGCATAAAAAATTCGTTTATACCATACATAACTAAACGAGGGCTAAGAAAAAAGTAAATTTTTCATCTTTTTATTTTTGACATAAAAATACGCTTTTCTAGACGAGCTTTGTCCCAGGAATCTAGTGGTGCCGTTTGTTTTCACATGCGATGTTCAGAAGTGCCTCTAATTCACGAAAATGCTTATGACGTCACCATGCCCTATGCATGATGGAGCTATTTTTTTTTTCAATTTGGGGGTCAAAAATAAAGATAGAAAGTTGAAATTTGGGACATCTTATGTTCTAATAGAGCTCTATAACATATATTCCGGTTTTTTGGAAATTCTGAAAATTTTGGATTTTATTAGCTATTTTCCAAAAATATAGTTTTTTGAATTTTTAGGGGTGAAAAACGCATTTTATGGAAAATCCGAGATAGCCATTTTAAAGAACTCGTTGAGCTGCGTCTATTCATGTCCTTAATTTGCAATTTGCTTTAAACCCTGATTTTTGGCGATTTTTTAAAACATTTACCACTTTTTTACTGAAAACGCCACGTAGCTACATCACTAAAATCGATATATCTAAAAAAAAAGTTTGGAAAAATTTTCTTAAAAATTGCACAGGAGACGTCAAATTGATGGGGGAGAAGGTATGCCAAGTTTCAAGTTGATAGCGTAAGCGGTTCATGAGTTATTCAAGAAAAACGGAGGGGGGGGGGGGTCGGATCCGCCCCCCCCAGGCGGTCGCAAGTTAAGCTGGGATCCAGTTCAGGAATTACCGCGCACGTCGTTTCTTCCGTTGAAGCATACGAATGCGTTGTACTCTATTGAGGGCAGTTCCTGACGGTGATGCGCAGCGTCAGTGACGGTGATAATACGACCGGCGTGCGCTGATGTCTTTGTCCGTCAGGTGCACATCGGCGGCGCAGGACCTGGTGATGTCGGCGCGCGGGAAGCTGAAGGAGCGGCTGTGGCGGCTCTCGGACGGCACCATGGCCACCATCGACGACATCAGCGTCTTCGTCGTGCCCATGCTGCCCTATAGGGAGGAACATCTCCTCTGGAAGGTACGCTCCACGCGCCATATAACCTCCCGAGTTGAAGCGCCCCCTAAACCCCAACACACACACGAAGGTACGCTCCACCACCGCAATCCTCCGATGGCGGCAGTAACTGTAACCGCCAGTGTAATGAATGATGTCCAATTTTAGTTCTGTCCTGTACTTAGGGAATTGCGATGACCCCTCCCTGGTTACATTTATGCGCTGACTTGCCATGTCGCCCCTCACCCACAGCTGGGCCAAGAGGCGTCCGCAGTGCGATGCGCGCCGGCCGAGCCGCCGTCGGGGGTCCGCCAGGTGTCTGAGCCGGCACAGCTGGACCGCTACCAGAGCCTGGTGGAGCAGTGCGGCCGGCCCTCACCGCCGGCGGGTACCTCGCCGAGCGGCAACTCAAGTGGAGCAGCGACAGCAGCAGCAGCGGCAGCGGCAGAGGACCCGGTGGAGACCGGCGTAGAGCCCGAGTTTGCCGACGCCGAGACCGGTGAGCCGACGGCGGCCAACGGTCCGGTACCGGCGGCGAACGGGCCCTCCGGCACCCCGTCGGCGGCCGAGCAGGTGGGGACGGTGCCGGTCACCTGGTTCGGAGGGGAGGACGCGACTCCGGTGCGCCGGCCAGCGCCCCGGTAGCCGCGCTGACCCGGACCCGAGCTCAGAGGCGTGGTGCGCTGGAGAGGACTGATGCGGTGAGATGTGTCTATTTATACGGGGTGCGTGTGTGTGGAGTGGGTGGTTTTAGTATCGCGCACCAGGCGCCGTTCGGGTCTCTTGTGCTACCTCACGTGACCGAGAGGGCGGCAAGGCTGTGCTGGTGAGACGCGAGGCTCGGGGCTACCTCTGTGGGTACCTGGCAGCAGTGAGACACCCACTATGGAATGGCACTGATAGGGACTCGAGTGGTCCACTCTCCGTTCAATGAGTGAATCGCGTCTGCGAGAAGCAAAGGAGCGGCTCTCACAGTGTCCCGTGCCGCTCTGAGCCCTGATCCGTGCCGCTGTTTGTGGGTCACGAACTTTTGTCCAAAGCACTCGGTCGGGTTCGCGTTACATTCCCCCTGGGCATGCTCTCCGCGCTATTGAAGGGCTAATTTGGCATTCCGGTGTTCCGCCTGTATTGGCTTATGTGTTTTTGTGTTGAGGCAGACGGATTCCGTTGTTCGTTGATAAATGTGTTATTCTTATTGTGATAAAGTCGCTTAGTTAGGAGAAAATCACGGAATGCAATCTTGCCAATGTTTGAATAATCGTTTCTTGTAATCGGTCGTTTTTCCGGCGTAATTGGTAATGGTTCATTATTTTTCCAGGGGTTAGTGTTATTCGTTGTGCCGCTGTGTCGATTCCCACCTGGTGTTTTAAAGGGCGGGTGAAGTGTGCAATCAATATGGAACTGATATATACTTTGTATTGGTTTTACTGCAGTGTTATGAACCTCGGTGAGCTAAGAAAATGCTGCACTGTTATATGCAGTCAGAATCGCGATCTTTTGGTAGCTACGCTCTGAACTCTGTGCAAATGTTACTTGCTTACAGCATTCAGGGGTGGTAAATGCTTATCACAGTCAACATTGTTAGCCCTTGAAATTCACTAACTTGCAACTGGGGGGTCTGCTCGGTACCCAGCACTACTTTTAAGTTTTAAGCTGCAAACACTTAAAAAAAGATGAATGCTTCTCTCTGGGTAATGAGATCCTTAGAGAGTTGTGAGGACACTAACTTGGTGCTTGGTTCAGTGGAAAGACTGCACGTAATACCGGATGAAGCCTGAAGGACTAACAAAATTGCCTTTCGGTCCTTCAACACTCCATTTGCTGGTGGACATATTCTTGCTTGATTCTTGCTGTTTGCACTGGTTGGAATAAGACACGCTGGCTGGGTGTTCTGCCCGGTTGTTAGCCATGGAAAAGGCATAAGGGAGGGACGGCAGCAGATTCGTCTATCATATCCGTCCTCAGCAGCAGGTTCGCGAATATGCTGCTGCGCGTCTCCACTGCGCCAGTAATTGTAACAGTATCGATCCGAATCTGCTGCTAGTAGACGGACCCTACGGGAACCCGCCGCGCTGCCGGTAGCAACATAATTTGGGGCCGGCAGATTTCTGAATCTGCTGCTGGTAGACAGACATTCGGCAAGTCCGCTGCCAGGGTAGCCTATTGGGTCGGCGGAATATGTCTGGCTGCCAGCAGCAGAAGCTTGAATATCAATTTGCCTCTAGATTGGCGGACATTCATATTTCATTAACCCAAAAAATCGTAATGCTCAAGGCTCGTAGTCGTCGCAGCCGACCGCCTTCACCAAATTCGCAGTGATAAATGATCACGTTTTAGGTATTTCTAAGGGTATTTCAGGTACGATATGTCCTACCTAAAAAGTCCGGCAGAAAGCGTTTTTAATTTTTGCATGCCTTTTACCTGGTGTAACTTTCGAAATTGCAGCAATTTAGATAAATTGTATCATTGTTTACAGTGCTTATTACGTAAATGGTGCTCTAGTTTCGAAATATTTATATTCAACCGCATCTGCGTTTTTCGTAGTCACTGCCTATTCACCAATCAGCAGTCCGAATCACGCCCATTGATTTGGCGAGCAGGACAGAACATCAACTTATGAACGTGAGTCAGTAGTTGCACCAGAGTTACGTAAGTCAGGTGCAAGGCCCTATATCAGTCGGTGACACTCCAGGGAAATAAGCTAAAATTAGAGCGCTCTATTTATTGCTCCCGCTACTTCAACGTCTCCCATAGGGTCCTGTGTTGAGCTGGTGTCGAGGCTCTAAAAATGACGCCAATTTTTGCACCCTTCTCACGAAAACCGCTCGGACCGCCTGGAAACTAATTGTTCCGCTCTAAAAATTTCATGATCGACGGGAAAATGAATGAGGAAAAGATTGGTCCTGAAATAATTCTGAACTCCCTGTAGAACATATCGAAATATGGGTGCAAACTACGAGCACGTCAAAATCGACAAAACAATACAATTAAACTTACCCGGATTTTTTTTATTTTCCATGCATCTGTGTATGAAATCAGTCGGTTTTTCGGAAAGATCATCTTCTGTTTAATAAAAAATTCCACAATTGCAATCGAGAAAAAAAAACATTTCTGATGTGACAGCAGTTTTGGCATGTGCCAGTAGTGTGGCGCGCGCGGTGCTGCGTGGTCGTCGGGACGGAGTTGTGAGTATTTTCGGTGTTTTAAATGGTTGATGGCCATTTGAACCAGCTTTATATTATTTCCTACAAATTTTTGCATCAAATTATTGCTTTGAAAGACCATTGAAACCCCTTTTCTCTTCATGAAGCACGATTATATTCATCGTCGACGAAAATGGCGCGGGACTCCATGTGCGTTCCGATCGAAATAAATCGTAAATTAAATAATATTCGATGATAAGTATCATATTCTAGTGACACATTTTCATAAAATAAGGCATAAACTTTGCAAGGAAGTCAACATTGGATAATTGGAATCTTATTTTGCTCACATATCCTTGTAGTAGTCAAATGGCTCAATTGTTAGATAAATGTAAGTATATGTTTTGGCTTGATGTTTGCTGTGAAACCACCCAGCCACTTGCTGGTTGAGTGGTTTTCTGATAATTACCTGATAATCATTTCTCCTTTTCCTTAAAAGAACCTAAAATTCTTTTCAAAGTAATCCATTTTTAGGAAAGGCGGCTTGCTCATTGACATTTCATGTTCTTGTTTTGTTATTGCTGGCAGTATTTTGATACAATAATGCAATATGAATTTTTTGCAATAATAAAACCTAAGACAAACTTAGTTAATGCGTCAATCAAACACCTAACAGAAAGATTGTGAGTCCTTGTGACGTGAAGTAGAATATTCTATGAATGTGTTATATAGAATATGCCAAATTTTAAATTAATTTTTATTTGATGCTTATAGCTGAGCATGTGAATTATGCCACAATATAATTTCATTTTCTGGTTTTGAAATAGCCGGCAGTATTTTACTTGAACAAATGTAATATACATGGAATACATGTTGTTATGTTATGTTAAAAGATTAATAACAGCCAACAGAAGGGGCTGTTTCAGCAGATAATGTTTGTACCTTATGCATTACCTTTCTTTTCTGCAGGACCATGCTTCCGCTGGGTGGTCGACATTTGCCTCCTGAAGAAGTTGAGCAACATGAAGACCACCAGATGAGGTGTCTGCAGTTCATGTGGAACTCTGCAGACTACAAGTGTTATGCCAACCACAACCAAAGTGCTGTGATCATGGAGGCATGAACCTCATGACAACACTTCAGATTTGCAGTTGTACCAAAGTGTGATTCAAACCACCTGTGGCATCTCACTCAATGTGTGAACAGTGTGATCATTGTGCAGTGTTCAGCTGCAACTAAGACATTTATTAGTGACTTGTTTTGCAATTAGTCACCAAAAGCATTTTTGGGCTGGCTGCTGTAATTTGTTGTGCACTGCGCAATAGTGGTAGTGTTTTGTCACTTGTCAAGTTGTCAGTTGTGCATGTTGCATGTTTCTCTTCCCTCGGTCCTCATTATCAGTTAAGTGGTGAATTGGCATCACTCAGTCTCCCCAGATCTCCATTGACTGTCTGTCAACCACCTAACTTGAGATGGTATTTGCTAATAGTGTCAGAAAAGGAGTGATTGTAGACATTTTTAGGAATATGAGCTCCGTTTCATGCGTGTTCCAGTGGTCATTTTGTCACATGTCCCATAGTGTAATAAATGGAAACTGTTGTTCCCATTTGGAGGTACTCGCGGATGCAGAAAGCGTTGGGCCTAATTATTAAACGCACCCTCCTATCAGCGACGCACGAAATCGACAAATATCATCCTTTTTAGAACAGGAGGAAACGAAAACTTGTGAACATAGCATTAGCTGTACCTACAACAGTGCATAAGGAATTGAAATTCTGGGAGTTTTTGAAATTCGGAGAAACTCAAGTTGTCGACAGGTATGCCCCCTTGTACGTCAAAGACCGCCTAAAAAACAAAGTCTACAAATGAATGCAGTATTACTATTCGTATGTTTGTCGTAATTGCAGCAGCCTAGCAACATGCATTGCGGTCCGATGGCGAATTACACTCGTGCTCAAAAACTATGCCGGTAACTGCCAATGCACTTAGGTCATAGGTGAGGAGAGGAAGGGTTATGTCAAATGTCAACATCATAGAAATGGCTTCATCTGAGCTGTGCCTATTGTACGTAATTCAACCAATCTATGCATTTCGTTTCTTGCAATCTACTCGAGCGTTCACTCCAGCTTCAGAGTAATCATCCCATATTGTACGTCTTAAGATATTGATTTCTATGGCAGTTTGCAATTGCTAGCCACGTCTCACCTCAGTTTGGTGGCCCCGCATCGGCCCACTCGGCCGCTCTAAAATTGACTTACGGAGGAGGATGGTGGCTTTTATTTTAGCTTCTTCGCTGACTGCGGGGAGCGCCGTCGCCGAGGTAGGAGCAATAATTAGCTTATGTTTGGGACTAATTTCCACGCTTAATTAACATTTTAATGTTATTTTAATTAATTCATGTTAATCTTTGACGCATTCTCTTTCTATTGATACCATCCACCGGTCTGAGAATGACTGCCTTGCTGCGTAAGGGCCGATAAAAGATCACGCTTTTAGGGGTATCTCTTCAACATGGGGTAGGAGCGATAAATAGAGCGCTCTAATTTTAGCTTATTTCCCTGGTATGTCACCAACTGATATACTGTCAGGTGAAGCTATATATGGCCTTGAGGTGAAGTATAGGTGCCCTATATATGGCCTTGGGTGCATATAGCCTTGGGTGCATATACAGAAGAACTTATTGTTATTGGTACATGAAGTGTGTACTCTCGTGATCAAGTGCATGATGAAATACTGAATTTGTACTGAATACAGTCAGGCCTGTCAACCGTGTAGTATAAGAGAAGAGCTGCTTGAGGTGTTATATACCTGTTTTGCTCGCTCTTTGCTTGAATTCCTTGGGCATAAAATGAATGAATTTCAAAGTTTTGCTGATACAGTAGTTTTTAGATTACAAGGGTTCCTGTGGAGTGAATAGTGATCCTACCTTATTGCTGGTAGGCATTTCATGATCACTTCACTACCTTATTGGTAGGATCACTCATTGTGGATTTGATGATTGAAATCAGGAGTCAAAGCCTCAACACATCATCTTGCCTGGTATTGAACAATCATGAGCGATCCACATTCTGAAAGTGCGTGGCGATTACTGCTCAGTTCATAGGTATGTTCATACGTATGTTCAAGGCTATATAAACCAGTACATTCCAATGGTTGAAGTCCCCTGTCCCCAAGTGTAATATGTTCATGTTATGTACCCCTACATGCCTTGCACAATATAAGTTTATGATAACCTCCCTGAATGCCATCAGTTGTTCTTTGAATGAGATGTACTTTTATTTCCAGGAGACACATCCATCACTTCAGGAGCTGAAATATGAATTATCAAACAAAATTTGCAAAATCACAGGTCTTTTCAGTATACAGGTTTTACAGCAGCTTGGGATCAAGGCCAAGCAAACAAGTTGATAGGATATTGAGAGTTGATCACGCAGGTGAACTAGGAGCAGACAGAATATACGCTGGACAAATGGCGGTTCTAGGTAAGCTGAGCAATTCCTTGTGTATGTGAAATATGAACTGGAACATGCAATTATAACATTTTAACATCAAATAGTTGTCCATGCAGCACAGAAACTCCACCTAAGCTGTTCTACAATAAAAATCAGGTTACATTTCTTTAAGCAGCTTCTTCTTGGAGGGGCAGGTCACCAAGTAAAAGCACTAATGGATGTACTGAAATGTGATTGTTAAGATTGGCTGGATTGCAAACACTACTTAACTATCATATATTGTCGCTCTTTTAGGCAAGACCAGTGTTGGCCAAACCATTCAGCACATGTGGGACCAGGAGAAGGAGCACAAAGCCAAGTTTGAGGAACTGATCCCCAAGTACAGAGCCAGACCCACTGTAATGCTACCACTCTGGAACGTGGCAGGCTACGTTCTGGGAGCAGGTGAGTGATGACTTTTTGAATTGCACCTTGAAGGTTTTCAGTTGGTCAGGTCAAAAACATCACTCTAAAATTGATGATGATCATGTCTTGTGATATAAGATTGCAATCAATTACATCCTTAGGTGGCTAGTCTTGTCTTACTCACTCAAGCTCATTTCTGGTACCCGAGTTCCAATTCCAAACAGTTTGGACATATAAATTTGGAGAGTACCTGCTCCCCAAAGATTGGCCAAAGCAACGGTGGAGGTGTCACTGACTATCGCGTGCGTTGACAGGTACCGCGCTGCTGGGGAAGGAGGCGGCTATGGCATGCACGGTGGCCGTGGAATCGGTCATCACCGACCACTACAACAGCCAGATCCGCGAACTGAGCCGACTCTCGCAGGAGACCGGCGAGGATCATAAGGAGTTGTTAGAGGTACGCTGGGCTGCAGTCCAGTCCTTATTGACCTTATCGACCAGCTAATGGCATATGGGAAAAGTGTGAACATCTGCACGAGTCAAAAGTTAAACCTTGTTGGTGTGTCGAATATACAACCAACACTATATTTTCTCACTGGCCAATGGCTGACGTATGATGAGTCACAAATAACAGAACGTTGAAAATAAGATCACAGAGTCTTGTTTACTTCATCAAGAAGTGCTGAGACATTTCCAAACTAAATGTATCCACTTTGCCAACGCCTATGGTGTGATCCGTAACGCAGCTACCCCCTCCACCGTCAGGTGATCTCGAAATTCCGTGACGACGAGATGGAACACCACGACACGGGCCTGGCGCACGACGCCGAGCTGGCGCCGGCGTACCAGCTGCTCTCGCAGACCATCAAAGCCGGCTGTCATGCAGCCATCTGGGTCTCTGAGCGCGTCTGACGAACCTCCTAGCCTAGCGATCGGCACTGCTTGGGATGCTCTGTGCGGCGTGAAGCTCCTCGTGCGGCGCTGGTGGACGAGCTTTGGTGTGTCGAGTCGAGGTTAGCTTGTGTATTGTGCCCTATTTGTGATATATTCTATGGTGAAGTAAATATGTTTCTTTTTTTACGTAAATGCGTTTTGTTGGTCTGTTCTGGTGCTTCAATCCGATGAACGACGAATATTTCTCAGGCGCTATCTACGAATTATCGTAGAGTGCCTGGCATTAGCTCGGCCGGAGATTGTCCACAGCTCGGCGAAGTTTAACTGTGTTGGCGATGCGAAAATTGCGTATAAGATGCTTACAAGTGCTCTGAACAGTGATGTATTTTAAAGAACGGCATGCTGTCGGGCGAGCAACACACCAAAGTTGCGTTCTAGAGACAAATAGAAAGCATCTCGAGATACCTACTTAGATGCTACTTTTATCGAGCTCACTGGTGACTTATTGATTCAACATAGGTACTCCTTGTTTTGTTAGACACTACAGAAACAATGAGGCTGCAATTTATCACACCATCGCGATGGTTTCACAAGATTCACCGTTCGCACACACGACATACACGCTGACACACGAGTTGATGGTATCGTCCTTCCCGAACACAAGCGCCCCATTCAAAGAAACTAGCACCACATTCCCCCCGAGCCGCCACTGACGGCCGTCACACCTCTGCCACCAGCTTAAACCGTCCGACCTGCGGCTGCACCAGCACATGGTAGTACTTCTTGTAGATGACGGTGCCGGCGGGCCGGTCGCCGTACGCCCTCTTCACCCAGACATGTCCGCTCTCGGTGTCCGGGGTGAACGGCTCGCACGTGACGGCCACCGTGCCGTTCTGCAGCGCCAGCAGGTCGCCAGAGCGGCCGATCTGCACGTTCTCTCCCGGGTGGTAGCGCAGGGTGCGCTGCTTGACCAGAATGCTGCCTGCAGTCACCAGCTGGCCGTCCTGGGCCTTCCAGCCGTAGTGGTGGGCCCGCCCGCGTCGGTTCGAGCCGTACTTTGTACTGCCGCCAGCTTTCTTTGAGGCCTGCCTCACTGCTTGTAAGGGGAGTGAGGGGAGCTTGTGTAGTAGCGCTGAGGGCATCAAATGACTGAGCAGAGACATCCCTTATCCTCTTGAGGCTGGCAGCTGAAAATGTGAGTTTCAAAATCATCATGAAAACACTTGAGCTGTCAGCAGCATAATTGACACAGTTAGTCCTAACAATTGAGTTATGAGGTTCAATTTGTTCTGTGCAGGTAAGGTTCAGAAGAAGCATTGCTTTACTGGCATGACTTGACAACTTCCAAAATCTTTTGAATGCATTTTTGAACAGCTGAAGTATACTGTCCCAAAGGTTACTTGTAATAGGCAATACCATTTCTTTTTAATTTAATTATTATGAATTAATACAAGAAATATGTGATAAGATTTTTTGGGGCATACAAAGAATTGAAAAATGTGTTGCAAGAACATGTACACACAATTTGAGCTCAGACCCACATTTCATGTTTCAAAAGTAATTTTGTTTAAGTTAATTGCTCTGCCAGGCGTGCCAGCAGCATATTAGAGAAAACATGTGTGTGAACATTGTAAACTTGACTTTTCATTCAAAAAAGTCTGTCCACACACATTACCACTATCTGCCCTAGAGCTTCTTTTGGTCAAATGACAGGCAAAAGAAAGATCAGAGTCCGAACATTAGATAAAGGCAATATGGGACCAAAGACCATACAGGTAGGTACACTCTGGGGCAGATTAATGTTCCACCACTCCCTACCCATCAGGCTCCCATGGCTCAGCACTGGCTGCTGCCAGTGGCAGCACTGGCACTGGCAGGCAGTACTGAGCAGTGCTCAGGGCAGGCAACACTGGCAGCAGCCAGTGCTGAGCCATGGGAGCCCGATGGGTAGGGAGTGGTGGAACATTAATCTGCCCTGGAGTGTACCACCAGGTGGGTGAACACATTATTGAGCAGTGCTGTGCGTTAGGTAGGTAGGTATATAAACAAAGCAGGTATACCTACCAATTGAGGAAATCTTGACATTTCAATTTGAAAAATTGTCAGGGTGAATAGGACACATTTTGTGCACAAACATGTGTAACAAAAATGGTTCACTGCTTCCCCTTCTCTTCCAGTTTGGTTGCCAAATTACAGACAAATAGGGGGGCGTTCCACGACAAATCGACAAGTGCCCTGCACCCTCATATTTTATTTTTTGCTAAGAATTGGTCTAATGGGTTGTGATGGGCGGGGAAGCCAGCTGTGGCAAGGATTTTTTTCTTCGAACAACGGTTTCCGAGATATAGCCTCGGGCAATTCCTGGAGTTCGCGCTGCAGCCCTATGTTTGGCGGCCTATAACTCAGAAACTATTGGTTTTTTTACGATAAAAACTTGATATGGTTCAACTCACAATCAACAAACAAACATTTTGGCTATCTCGGATTTTCAATTTTTGAAAATTTTGATCACGTGACCTTTTGTTCTATTTTTCGAAGAGTGACCTTGATATTTTCCCCACTGAAAGTTGCAATTTTGTCTGATGACGATTAAAGCCTTATCAATTGTCATTCATATGCGATAATAAAAAAAGTGGTTATCGCCCTGCGTTGACCTTAGGTCAGGTCATTTTTATGACCTGTCCATTATTACGAGCGGGAGCGACAGCGAGATCTCGAGAATAAAGCAAGATAGCGACAAGCAGTAAACGGTAAAGGGTACACACGGATAAGGTCTATAATTTTTACTAAGGTCATTTTCAGGTCAGGTCAAAGATGACGTCACAGGAGCTAAAAGGAAGTCAAAATAGCGGCACTATACATATATATGAAGTTTTTCTCGAATAACTTTCAAGGTATCCCACCTAGGAACAAACTAATAGCACCATCGTGATCCTCTCGTCGATCCGCATCGAAACTTATGTATTTTGACCTCGAAAGGTTGAAAGGTCAAAAGTTGACCCTAGGTCACGTGATCTAAGGTCACGTGATCTAAGGTCAACTTTTGACCTTTCGACCTTTCGAGGTCAACATACATATGTTTCGATGCGGATCGACGAGAGGATCACGATGGTGCTATTAGTTTGTTCCTAGGTGGGATACCTTGAAAGTTATTCGAGAAAAACTTCATATATATGTATAGTGCCGCTATTTTGACTTCCTTTTAGCTCCTGTGACGTCATCTTTGACCTGACCTGAAAATGACCTCAGTAAAAATTATAGACCTTATCCGTGTGTACCCTTTACCGTTTACCGCTTGTCGCTATCTTGCTTTATTCTCGAGATCTCGCTCTCGCTCCCGCTCGTAATAATGGACAGGTCATAAAAATGACCTGACCTGAGGTCAACGCAGGGCGATAACCATTTTTTTTATTATCGCATATGAATGACAATTGATAAGGCTTTAATCGTCATCAGACAAAATTGCAACTTTCAGTGGGGAAAATATCAAGGTCACTCTTCGAAAAATAGGACAAAAGGTCACGTGATCAAAATTTTCAAAAATTGAAAATCCGAGATAGCCAAAATGTTTGTTGGTTGATTGTGTGTTGAACCATATAAAGTTTTTACCGTAAAAAACCAATAGTTTCTGAGTTATAGGCCGCCAAACATAAGGCTGCAGCGCGAACTCCAGGAATTGCCCGAGGCTATATCTCGGAAACCGTTGATCGAAGAAAAAAATCCTTGCCACAGCTGGCTTCCCCGCCCATCACAACCCCTTACACCAGTTTTCAACGAAGAATAAAATATGAGGGTGCAAATTTAATTTTTTATTTGTCGATTTGTCGTGGAACGCCCCTAGGGGAGAGCCATGGATAATGGATTATTAGAAGGATGAAAAACAACCTGTTGCTCATTTCTATCAGAAATAGAAAAAATAAACCAATATATATTCGGGTGTGGCCCTTCTTCAGTGGTACCTACAAGGTGTGATCAGTGGTACAAGATTCTTCAGTTGTGATCTTGTACCACTGAAGAAGGGCCTATTGGTTTATTTTTTTATATTTCTGATAGAAATGAGCAACAGGTTATTTTTCATCCTTCTAATAATCTTATTAACAATGCTCAGCACAACGTTCAAATACCTGAGATAATGGATTAGACAAGGACAAGGGATACAACCATCCCAATCCATGGGATAGCCATACCTTTTTCACGCTGGTTTTTTAATATTATTGTGGCTTCGTTCTTTTACAACCTTCTGTGATAATTTATGAAATAAGTACCACCCAGCCGTGACCCAACTGTCGCCCCAACTGCCTAAGTAAAATTATTGCAAAATTAGCATAGCTTTTACTGTTACAGGCAAATGCCACTCTGACTCATTGGCACACTGAATCCTAAAAACTATGTTCTTCGAAACGTGAGCATGGATGTTATCGCATTATCAACTGTGGTACAACATGGATCCTCGGACTTCTTGTAGCTGAAGTTCAAAGCTTTTAGGTCAAAACGACAGCCTAATTCCCTAATATCCATAAAATGAAATTATTTCAATCAACATAACTCAATACAAGAATCCACCAAAAACAAAATAAACTTACATGCACACCAACAACACGGTTTGCATAGAACCACTGAAAATAGAACACTTTCCAAACGTAACTGAAGCGCCGTTTTCACTAGCAAATCATTACTAAATCAATGCAATATTTCGTTGTGAGTCCACGGCGCATAATTTCTGAGGGCTGTTCACGGACCCTGTGTGCGGTCGGACCGCACACAGCCTCGAAGCTCCGCCCACCGCGTCCCTACGTCAGCATTCCGTCACCGCACACAGCGATCGCTGTGGCCGGTCGGGACTGGCCACAGCGGACCGTCCACCGCACGCAGCCGTGACGTCAGAACCGCCTACCCATCCCCTACCCCCACGCCTGCTGGACGTACCGCACACACCGCACGCAGCAGTGTGCGGTGCCCGTGAACACCCCTCAGATATTTACCTTGGTCTTGGTCGTGGGTTAGGGCGCATAGCCTCATCGGGCTCAGAGCGTCCGTAGATGTCTTGTTGCCACTTTCATGTCTTCAGAGTTGGTAGGTAAGACAATGGAGTACTAAGCGTGGTAGTGGAACGGAAAGACAACAGCGTACCGGATAGAACCAGGATATAGTATTGAGGAATATTTCCAGGTAGGACAGTAGTTAATGTTAGTAGCGAACTATAAAATGGTTATGAACTTAGAGATAAAGAACTGAAAATGAAAGTAACATAAACGACCGGTATCTTTTATGCCTGGCTTTTTTCAACAGTCAAAATAACACTCCATATACATTAATTTGCCATTGATAAACACTCTGGTAACAATAGGTACGCTTGTCTCCTCGTTAGAGTAGGAGGATGTCGTTCATCACCATAACCATCATAACATGTATCGATACACTGTGGTCGCAGACCAGTTGTTCAGGCCGTGTACGTAGGAATGCTTTGGCCGTAGTGTTTCCCTAAGCGCGCTGCGTGGATCCATGGATAGAGAGACCAGCTGGTTAGGTTCGTCCAAACTAATTAGTTTCTAAACTACGTGATCAACTACGCTCGATACTGTCTTAAGTGCCACCACCGTCGATTGTCCTGTCAGTCAAGAAGTGTACATTCATTCACGATCAGTCATACTTCCACGCACCACTTCCACATAACACAGACCACAGTACTGGTGGGACATAGCACACGGAGACAGATGCAAAACAAAGGACATAGAACATTCATATTACATCTAGTGTGTTACATGTAAATAGAGGCACTACCATGCACACAGGCTTTTGACTCCAGCATTAAAAAAAGAAAAGAAAAAAAGAAACACGCGTCGGGTATACATACGCTATCGCACGTGAGTCGCACATAGTCTGTCTCGGGCCTTGGTCTGGCTCTATTGTTTCTTAATTCACTGTTTACAGGCGTTTCATAAGATCGCACGCTCGCAAGAAGATCATCACTTCGTTCAATATCTCAGGAAAGTCGTCACATAGCAGCGATTTCAGACACAGCTGAACCGCATGTCTCTGACACAGTTGCTGCAATGGTTGTCTCTCGATGGCGTACATTGGACAATCGATGAGAAAGTGCTGTACAGAAAGCAGGCAGCGACATCTTTCACACAGTGGTCTAGGCTCTCGATCAATGATATAAGAATGGGTGTACCGAGTATGGCCCAGTCTCAGACGACATAATGTAACCTCTTCTCTTCTACTGGGTCGGCTACTGCTAGACCAGTGTTCCACACGCTCCTTGATAGCTTTCAGAGTAGTGCCAGCAGGGTGATCAGCCCAGAACCGACCAAACATATCTCTGATCGTAGAGCGGATTGCAGGATAAAACTCTCGCATCCCAAGCAGTGGTGTAGTTATATCATTCAGGCTCATGGCTACCTTCGCCTGTATATCAGCCGTCTCGTTTCCTGTTATACCAGTGTGACCAGGTATCCATAACAGGATAATCGAGAAACCAGTATCAAGAAGAGTGTGGACATGGTCCAAAATCTCGGTAATAACAGGGTTAGCTGAGGGAGGGTTTCCAATGGCCATCATCACGGACAAGGAGTCAGTACAAATCACCCATTTCTTGTCACGCTCAGTTTCAATGTAGCACAGTGCTTTTAGAATGGCAGTCGCCTCTGCTGTGAAGATGGAACACTGTACAGGTAGTCGGTACTTCCCATAGCGATCACCATGAATATAAGCACATCCTACACCATTTGGGCCCTTTGCACCATCAGTAAAAATGAAGGCATAGTCAGCATAAGAATGTCTCAATTCATGGAAATCACACTGGACTTTTAGATTGTCGAGGCAACTTTTACGTTCATCAGTAAGTCTTAGTATCTCGCATCTCTGTAAACGCCAAGGCGGTATATGGCTCTCTCTCAGTGCAATTGCAGCAGGAAATACATATCCACTTTCGTCTACCATCTGGAGCATACGTTCATACAATGGAAATCCCGATATTCGTTTCATATATGCCGCCTCCACGTGGTGCAAAGCTGCATGTCTCAATATAAGATGTCTACACGGGTGAGTATCTCGGCTTTTAACTTTAAGACAAAATCTCAGAGTTAGTTCGCATCGCCGAAGTCTCAGCGGAAGAACATCAGTCTCAACCAGCAGTGGTAAGATCGGTGATGTACGGAGAGCTCCGGTTGCTATCCTAAGGCACTGATTTTGTATGGAGTCAAGTGATTCTACCACCTTGTTCTGAGGTCCATCTAGAATCTGGCAGGCATAATCAAGAATAGGTCGTATCATGGATTTATACATGCGTATCAATACACTCCGGTCCGCCCCACAGCTTCGTCCGGCCAAGCATTTTAAGACAGATATCCGTTTAGTAGCTTTACCCTTAACATACTGCACATGTTTAGTAAGATTCAATCTGGAGTCAAAAATAACACCCAGAAACTTCACATCATCACAGTATGGGAGTGGCTGGTCATAAACCTTCAGTGATGGCAAATAAGTCAGTTCTTGTTCTTTCATATAGCGCCTAAATATGACGGCATTGCACTTATTCGGGGAGAAGACAAACCCCCAACGATCGGTCCATTCGGTGACACTGTTCAGAGCTGTCTGCATTTTTTCAATTAGAGGCAAAATCCGCCGACCTCGTACCCACATGGAGCAATCGTCCGCGTATAGGGCATATGAGACATGTTCAGGAATATTGGCAAAAATATCATTAATCATCAGGTTGAACAAGAGCGGGGAGATCACGCCTCCCTGTACGAGTCCATTCTCCTGAGTGAAAGTGTTTGAGAGCACGCCATTTTTAACTTGGAACGTTCGTTCCTCAAGGTAAGATTTAACAAAGTGCATAAGCCTTCCGCGGAGTCCAATGGTATGCATACGATGGAGGATGGCCACTTTTGATGTGAGGTTATATGCACTTTGTAAATCTAGAAACACCGCCAATGTATACTGGTGATAAAAGAATCCTTTCCGCACCTCGGATTCCAATCGAGTTAAATGGTCAGCCGTATTCCTTCCCTTCCGGAACGCACACTGGAATTCAGATAAGATACTGTTCTGTTCAACATACCAGGTAAGTCTCTTTGTCACCATCCGTTCCATGATCTTGCTAAAACAGGAGGTAAGCTGTATGGGTCGGTAGGATGCAGGCTCGTCTTTTGGCTTGCCCGGTTTAAGAATTGGTATTATAATAGAGTGTTTCCACTGTTGCGGTATTTCCTCAGCACACCATATGCAGTTTATCATGTTCAGCACATGTACCAATTGTTCCTGGGAGAGATGTTTAAAAAACGCATAATGGAGGTTATCAGGTCCCATTGAGGTATTTCCACTCTTAAAGATCGCTTCTTTTAACTCAGGCAGTGAGAATAAATCATTGTATACTTCCTCGTTCTGAGACACGAAAGAGGGAAGATGAGCGCTCATCTCCCTCTCGTGCTCGATAAACCTTGGTCTGTAGTGTAGGGAAGATGATAGATCAGAATAAAATTGTCCTAAAACATTTCCCACTTCCAGCTGGTCATCAATCACCTCGTCTCCAACCTTGAGCACGGGTAACGACTTCCTGTATCTTTCTTTGCGAGTAAATTTCCTTATTATTCCCCATAGTTGTTGCAGTGGTGTGTTCACATTGAACAGGTGTAAAAGTTTCTCCCACGACTCCTTTTTCGCTTGGCGAATAATTCTCCTGGCCCTAGCCTTGGCCTCCTTGTATGCCATTAGAAGTGCAGTGGTTCGATTACGTCGAAAACGGTTCAATGCCGTTTTTCTAGCACGGATTGCTTCCTTACAATCCTCATTCCACCATGGACAGCTATATTTGGGAGGACCTGTTTTCTGTGGAATAGTTTCACGTGCAGTCGACAGAAGTTTCTCCACCATAGTTTGATAGCTCGCATTCATGTCAGTCACATCAATGTTGTCAAAATTACACTGGTCAGTAAATTCACACCACTTGGCCTTATTTAAGTTCCATCCTGCAAATATGTCCCGCCCAGGCTCAATAAACGCAGATTGTAATTGTACATCATAAGAAGCATATATGGGACAATGGTCACTGGCATGGAGATCTGAATCAGTCCTCCACTCCATATATTGTCCTATTTCACTGCTGGTGATAGTAATATCAATGTGTGACCAGAGTCCTGTGTACTCGTCCATGCGTGTGGGACAGCCATCATTCAGGAGGGTCAGAGCATTGTTCCTTATGATACTTTCAATTGAATTCCCTCTGGCATCACAGCGATCCGATCCCCACATATAATGTCTCGCATTAGCATCAGTGCAAATAATAAAAGGCTCGGGTAATTGCCCTACGAGATTGTCAATCTCAGTAGTTGTAACCTGTGGGTTAGGAGGTAAGTACAAGGAACAAACACATATACGTTGGCGACCCACTTTCACACAACACGCAATAGCTTGCAGTGCTGTAGTTAAAGGGACCTCATAATGTGGAAAAGAATTGCCAACATAGATACATACACCACCACAACGACTGTTGGAAGGTGAGTATCCGTTATACAGTGTATAGTTGGGAATACAAAAATCATATTCATCTGTGGAGAGGAAATGAGT